GGGGGGGGGGGGAAGAGTTAACGGTAATAAATTGCTGGCGGGTTGGGTTTGCTTTTCATCGGCATAAACAGCGCTCTAAATTTTTCTTTCAGCGAAGGTGTGTCTGGGGCGATAACATGGGGCGTAGGAGTGGTGTTAAATGCATGGATGAGTAGGGGCACACATTTTTATATGGAAGTAGCTTATTCTTTTTCAGTAGATGGATGCTGGGCATTGTAAGCATATCTTTTTTAACTTCTTCTGTTTGCATGGTATTTTAGAATGGCATAGTGAGGCAGTTATGAAAGCTATGTCTTATAGACCTTTACTGGAGTTTCGCTCTTCATATTAATTTGAGATAAAAACACATGTCAGGTCACAAAAGCATAGGCCTACGTGTTGCCGACTTTGATGATAACCCATAGACACAATGTTCTTTGTTCAAAACAGCACATCAATTCATTATTTATTACTGCTTCTAAGCCAGTTGACGCTCTAAGAAATGCACCTTCCATCTGTATGCATTCATTATTCAATGAATTTCATGTACTAGTTAAGGACATCATCAGTTCATTTAAAAGACGGACAAGTTTTATTCGGCTGTTTCTATGCCATGTTATTCTTCGCATATTTTTATGTTGATGACTTACACTTGTGCAGTGGTGTATCTGGTGGAGTATGAGGGTCACAGCAACTTATGGTTAAGGAAATTTTTCTAACCACCGAATCTAGATGGGTTATGTCGCCGTTTTTTTTCCCGCAACTCCATTGGGTCCGCCACTGTCTATGTGATAAGTGTAAATGTTGTATTCTGTGTTGTCGCCATCCTTGGAAAGTTTGGTTTCCCCTATATATTGCGGGGCGGTATTTTCGGCTATCTCCCGAGTGTTTTCGTGGGGAAAAATGAGGAAAATAACGAGGTGGGGGTAAAATCTTGGCCCTTCTCTGGGCGGCCCGAAACCCTATAGCTACGCCACTGCGTCTTTGGCTACATGTCATTGTGTGAGTATAACGCGTTATATGTGCGTTGTCGTGGCGGAGACGAATGCCCTCCTTCAGACTAACATTCTGACAGGTACCAGTTATAGTATAGTAGGGATAGAATATCACGCTTTTGAGTATTTCTCAATAGGCCTGTCAACTGTTTTTGAGAAACCCAAAGTGGAACAACAGATTGGGGCTGTTTAGTTTTAGACCCGAAAGAAAACACACACAAAAAAAGTAGAAGAAGAACACAGTCGGCACTGGTAGCTTGTACAAGAATGGGGTACGGGACACACCCACAGGGATATGGGACACACCCGCAGGTGTATGTGACACACCCGCAGTTAAGTCAACAGTCGTGTCAATCATCAGGTTCCGTGTGTGTGCCGGAGTCTTAAAAATAACTCTGGAGCCGGGTTCTTTCGACGACTCCCCCTTCTTTCCCCCCCCCCCCCCCCCCCCCCCCC